GGCTCTGGTACAAACACTCGTGGGCAGGTTCTAGATGACTGAAGGTCCTGGCAGCTGCTCTCATTTGTTTTTACAAAGAAATCATTCATGTGGGAAACATCAGCATTAACTCCACCGAGTGAACTTATAAAAGTACCTCTTGGCCAATGAGTGAGAGGAACTGTAATTATATTGTAATTAGATTTAGATTTTCCTGGTGATGCAAGAAAAGAGTCCATGCAGTAAATTATCTGTCAGTCTATATGACTTCATGTTTATTTCTCTTGGTTTGTTTACAGAAAAGTCAGTGTGAACATGACTTGGACCAAAGCTAAAATAAGCTGAGGATGAAAGACAGGAAACAGAAAAGGCAAAATAGCAGGAAATCTATGACACACTGGTACACACACATTGTCTCTTTATAGCTGAATGTGGAACAACTTTTCAGTTCATACTTAGTAACCATAATCTGCTCTGTTACAGGAGACAGAAGGAACAAAAAAGGAGAGTGAGAAAAAAGGAAGATTTTGACTTTTACCTTCACAGATGAGCAGTACGTTGTTGTAGCTGAAGCCCATAGGACATTCACAGCGGAAGCTCCCAATCTGGTTAATACACACTCCATTGGTACAGATACCTGGGATCTCCCTACACTCATCAATGTCTGCAAGACCCCACCAGAAAAAGTTAACAATAATGAAAGCTATATAATGTGTACAACCTGGTCATATCATAGTCTTGTTTTGAAGGTACTCTGACTGCCAGTGTTGGCATTGTAATGACCTTACCAATTGGCTTGCCAGTGTGGATGTCAATGATGAAGCCAGGAGGCTGGTTACCACACAGAATGTGGTAGTCAGCTGAAACAGTCAGGACAAAAGAGACTCACTGACAGTAATGCATAAACAGCTGTGTCAGTGCATGTTGGTCTGAAGTGGTATTTGGTTTGTGTTCGTGCTCCATTCATAAGAAGCTGCGTCGACACTCACAGGTAGCAGGAATAGGACAGGCCTCGCACGGCTTGTTCCAGGCCTTTCCCACGTTATAGGCACAGCAGCACATCTTCTTGGTCATGTTGAAGGGCAGCTCATTCTCGCATGTGTCATTTAAGTTACGGTAACACACACTCTTCCTCATGTCTGTATTACAAGATAGACAGATGTCAATTTGAAAACAAAAATCTGACATGTACTTCAAAAATGTTTGGCTTTCAGAAATGTAATTACTCTTTAAGTTCCAAGAGAAAGTTACAATAAATCATTTTCTTGTCAGCTGAAACAGTCTCTTCCACTCACCCATGCAGTTGTTTCCTCCATTGACCTGCATATATTCAGGTGGACACACACAGGTGTAGTTGCCCAGAGTGTTGTAGCAGGTGCCAGGTCCACAGATCCCAATATGAACTGTGCACTCATCAATATCTGCACATGCAGATATGATTACAGATAATGAAAAAAAAGTATAGTAATGGCATAGTGACAATATGGGTTTGAGTGAATACAGTTCGAGTCAGTTAAAAGAAGCAGTTCAATGCACTTTGTCTTTCAGTCCTTACCCTCACAGATGCGCGTCTCCTCATTGAGATAGTAGCCTGCTGGACAGTCACACTGGAAACTGCCAAAGGTATTAATGCAGTTTCCACCTTGGCAGAGACCTGGCAGCTCCTGGCACTCATCAATATCTAGAGAGTAATTCAAACAGTTAGATCCATAGATGAACTTATAGAGACAGAGCACATACAGGTCAGGCCCACACCGGAAGGTGGGGGCAATTGATCTCACTCTATTGATTTTGTATCGAGTGAAGACGACTTTTTGACAATTTGGTCTTTTTACAAAAATCTGAAGAATGCCTAAAAGTTGCCATGTGATAATATGCACTACCAACAAGGTAAAGAACCCAGAGTGATAATTTTAAAAGCTGCTGAACAAAAAAAATTACACTTTAAAAAGACAAAAGTGAGGGATTAGAGGCAAAATGGGAAACTCTGGGATCCTGACACTCAATATGCCTTTGTGAGTAGCAAGCATATTGTCACTGATAAGTCAAATATCCAAATATCAGTTTAGGTTACTGTTTCTGTAAGTTAAACTAAAGCATTTAGACAGTATGTCAAAGTTTGTGTTATAAATCTAACTACAGTAGAAATAGTCGTCCAGCTGCCACAGTATGTTTTAGCAAGGAACTGTAGTTAAATAAGACACCTGCAAACATACTAAAATGTTTACTCCACACAGACATATAGCCACTATCAGGAGCCCTGTTTCCCTTTTGAACCTGCTAATGCCACACGTTGGATCCACTCTGCCTTCTTAAGGCTTCTGCGTTTTTTGTTCAGTAACTTTTGAAACTTTAACTCTGGGTACTTTACCTTTTTGGTAGAACTAGATGCCAAAGTTTAGTGTTTTGCTTATACACTGGCCAAGCTGTTGTGCCCTTTTGTAATTCAATACATGACTGGTAAACAGAAGAGAAAGGTGGAAAGTTTACCTTCCAGGATGACAGTAATGGGGTTGGGTCTGAATCCCTCGCCTCCTGGACAAAGAGTCTTATATTCCGCTAAAGACAAAAAAGAGAAATAGACAGTAAGTTAGTGTGACTTTGTATTTCACAGTAGGAAAAAAACTGCAATAAATAGGAGTAAATAATTAAATAAATAAATAGCATGTAAGTTCAAATCTGAATATTTTAAGACTGACGTGGATGTGCATTATGCAGTAAATATTTAGAGTAATTGATTGGTCCTGTGGTACATACTGGAGTTGGAGGCAGGGCACAGTTCACAGGGGTTACCCCAGGCTGTTCCCAGGGAGCAGCAACAGGAAGCTCGGGTCACGCCCACTCCGATCTCTGCACTGCAGGAGATTCCTCCATCACCACGTGCAAGGATATCCAGGAAGCAGTTCCCAACGCGGGTGTCTGAGAAACACACATTTTCACCCTTAAATACGTGTCTCCACTTTAATGTAACAGGATAGTGTGTGTGTCCACAAATGAAATGAACAGATGTTTGATTTGTACATAAATAAATATTTTTTAACTCTTGAGATTTGTCAGACATAAATTTGGATGCTGTTTTAAGCCTTGTCACTATGATCTCGTATTTAAAGAAATACTTGTGTACTGTACTGGTGAAAGTATAATAATAATATTTTCAAACTGAAGCACCACTGTCCTGAGTGTGAACACATAACACAATTTGGAAATGACACTGCTAATGGTAGTGGTATATTTCTACTTTACAAAAATTACAAATATATTAATTGACCTCCTGGTCAATTAATATATTTGCCCTCACTACAGCTGCACTCGTAGCTGCCATCCGAATTGGTACAGTGGGTCTCATATAGAGAAGACCTAACCTCTTTTCTCCTGCAGGACAGCATTAACAGCTCCTTGTTAGTTAAACCTGTGAGCTCTCAGTGTGACTCACCCACACAGCCCACTCCAGTGGGGTTGAGTTCAAAGTCAGCTGGGCAGTTACAGATGTAGCTCCCTGGAGTGTTCACACACAGTCCGTTGATGCAGTTCACAGGGTCTGAACACTCGTTAATGTCTGCAGGATACAGTGACAAACAACAATGCAATATAATGGGAAAATACCGTATGGATGTTTGATATTATTGTCAAAAAACTGATTGAATCTAGAGATACAGTTACAGAAGTGCTATACTGACCAGTGCAGTTTCCTCCGCTGCGGTCCAGCTCATAACCGTCATCGCACACACAGCGGAACATCCCTGGAAGGTTCTGGCACGTTCCCAACACACAGATGTTCTGGAAATTACACTCATCGATGTCTGTGTCAAAGGTGATAGAGAGAAAGAAAAATGTTAGAAACATTACCTGAACAGTAAAAACAAGGCAATAAAAAGTGACAGAATGAATGTGGCACCTTGACAAGCTCTGTTGTCTTCTGTGGGTGTAAAGCCCATCTCACACTCGCAGCGGTAGCCACCCGGCGCATTCAGACAATGTCCGTTCTCACACAGGTTCACATTGTCTGCACACTCGTCCATGTCTTAAACAAATCGGATTGACTGTGTTATAAACCTGTGCATGGAACTTGCTGCACACTCTGTAGCTAGGATTCCATTAGGATGTATTGAGAAAGTTTTTATAGCCTTACCAGAGCATGAAAAGCCATCGCCATTAAAACCCTCTTTGCATGTACATCTGTAGGATCCGGGTGTATTGACACAGTCTGCATTGGGGTTACAGTTGTGGTCCTCTGAGGAGCACTCATCCAGATCTACAGATAGAGTGGTAGGAACAATCAACACTTGTCTTTAAATCTAGTCTTACAAAGTAAAACTACTGTGTCTCTTTCATACATCACAGCTAAGATATAGTGAAAATGTACTCACCCACGCACTTGATGCCGTCTCCCACCCAACCATCTCGACAGCGGCATTTAAAGCTTCCAGGAATATTGATGCAGGCAGCGTGCATGTTGCAGTTATGAGCCCCAATCTCACACTCATCAATGTCTGGAGAGATGTGGAGATCAGATAGATAGTATTATTGTTTTGTGTTGTAGCATTAAAGCTTCTAGGTATCACAAAAACAAAACAAATAACAAAGGACACAGTATTATAGCCTTAATTTGTTGGAGTGAAATGCTCCTTTATTTAATGACATGACAATTTTATTTTTTACTACCAGTTTAAACTGTATTAGCAGTGAGGCTGATGACTGGGTCTCCAGATATGGTATGCTATAAATACATAATTAATTTGGATAATGCTAATTTGAAACTGCTGTGTGCACGAATGCGCTGTCACAGCACTTTTAGATATGGACACACAGAGGCCCAGACTACTCAGAAGCAGCTCAACCCCTCACACCTATTTGTGTTTGTGTGCATACCTGTGCAGCCTGTGGACCCCTTCTTGACAAAGTATCCCAGCTGGCAGTGGCAGATGAATGAGCCTTTGGTGTTCTCACAGTCACCGTGGAGACAAATGTTTGGGTTTAAATCACACTCGTTCACATCTGGTCAGACAGGCATGGACAGACACAGAAAACAGGTTAATATTCTGGCCTTAGAGATTAAAATGAGAAAAAAAATGAAACTGACAAAGAAAATAGCCAGACATGCAGAAAAACACATTAGCTCAGAGACTAAATTAGGAAACAAGATTTAAAGCGAGACAAATATAAAAGATAAAAATGTCAGCGTGTGTTCTTCCTCTCACCAACACAGCTCCTCATGTCCATGGAAGCCATGAAGCCGTCATAACACAGACAGCGATATTCCCCAGGAATGTTGGTACACTGGCCTCCGTCACAGATGTCTGGACTCTCCTCACACTCATCAATATCTAAGAGGAACATCAAAAGTGCATTAAAGTGTGCTACAGGTGACTGAACAAATACATCACAATGTGACAAAACTGCATTTCTTTAAACCCTTTAAAATATTCTTTTCTGTGTAAAGAGCTGAAATACATATACCCTGTAGATATCCTGTGTTTTCTTACCTGAACAGGTCCTGAGATCAGGCATGAGGGCATAGCCCTCACTACAGCTGCACTCGTAGCTGCCCTCCGAATTGGTACAGTGGGTCTCACAGCCTCCATTCATAATGGTACATTCATCAATATCTGTAAAGGTGCAGAGTGTTATTAACATATAGCTGGATCAGTGCTCAGCAGGCCGTTGTCTTGTGTGTAACCACATGTCCTTAATATCCTGTTTCAGTGTGTAGCAGTGGACAAAGTTCACTCCACTCACCAACGCAGCCCTGTCGGTCTGGTGTGGCCTGGTAACCAGTGTCACAGGAGCACTGGTACGTCCCTGGCACGTTGACACACTGGCCGTTCTTACACAAGTTGTCACTCAGCTGACACTCATTCATATCTAGACCAGCAAAAACAAATATAGAGAGTTGCACATTGCATAAAATGTAGTGCATCATACCTCAGGATACAAATAAAAATATCTTTGCATTTGCAATTTTCATTCATTGAACAGTGCCAGACCCAATACTTGAACCAAGTTTGTCTTCATATACCAACTACTGTATGCAGCTGTTATAAACTAACTATACAAACTAAGATCAAGAAGAGAAGCAAATTTTGCTGTGTGAAAGTAGTTAATTAGGGCATGACTGATACTCCGACTGGCTATTGAATTGCTTTGGATGTGTTGAGAATGACATATAACACTGGCGGGCCTGTGTGTCTCATGGACGGATAATGACACAATGGCCACTTGGGCACAGACATGTAAAAGGCCTCTACCTTCCTACACAGAAGACCCAAAACTGAAAGAGAAATCCCTTTAAAAGATGTGTTGTCTCATAGTGGTCTTTTTACATCACTGTAATTGTTTTGCACCTCCTTGAAGTTAACATGTCTTTGCAGACTTTTTGTGTCTCTTTAAGGATGTCTGGTATCATTTTTTGGTCTTTTTCCATCTCTTTCTGGTTGTTCTGCTTCACTTTTTAGTAGTTTTGCATCTATTTGTGAATATTTTGCAGGTGGGGTCCAGGAGCCCCCTGACCCCTCAGGCTCCCGGGCCTGTGCCCACTAGGTCCGTTCAGTAATCTGTCCATAGTGTGAATGTTAGTATAGCATAGGTTAGTATGCTGTATGAATTATGACCCACCTTCACAAGCAGAGCCATCAGTGCTGAGTGAGTGTCCAATGGGACATTCACACTCATAACTCCCTTCTGTGTTTAGACAGGTTCCTCCATGACACAACAGGGGGTTTCTCTCACACTCATCAATGTCTGTCAGCAGAAAGAAAGAAGAAGAGAAGCTAATAAAAAAGCATGGATGATAATTTCACATTGTAGACATGAATTCATATGATAAAACTCAAGTGTATCACTTGAAAATGTGTGAAGTTGTTTCCAGCTTACCCATGCAGTTCTTCATCATCATAAAGCCGCTCTCATAGCCCTCAAAGCATTCACATTCAAAGCTGCCAGGTGTGTTGACACAAGTACCGTGACCACACAAGTCGGGGGAGATACGGCACTCATCGATGTCTGAAGCACAACAACATGAAGAAAGTTCACCAAGTGTTCACTAAGTGTGACAGAACTATTTCATTTATATTAAATCCACTTCACTCCCTCTGCCTCTCTCTCGTACCTGTGCAGTTCCTTTCTTCAGTGGTGAGAGCAAAGCCGTTGTTGCAGCGACACTTGAAACTGCCGATGGTGTTTCGGCAAGTTCCATAAGTACACAGACCCTGGAATACCTTACACTCATTCACATCTGTGAAAAAGACTGGTTATTAATACTCACATTGCACAGATACTAAAATACTGTAACTGCCAAGGTTCTGCTTATCTACTGTATAAACATTTCCAGCACTATCCAAACCCCCTAAGATGACCTGGCATTACAAAATGTTAATGAATACAATTTCAGTGTGATTGCACAGAGACACTAAGATACAAATAACTATGAGGTGATGTAAACAAGCTGTTTTCTTTGACCAGTTTTCCACACACTGCACAGGATCACTGAACAATGAATCACTCAAAGCATGGATCTCTCTGCAGCGAGTCTGAATCACAGTGTGCTGTGCTGTAAATTGAATTAGATGTTCAGTAAGTTGAGAATCCTGTTACCTTTGTAGAAGGGTCTGCCAGTCAGAATATCTCCTCTGTTGGCAAAGCCGGGCCCTCTGGGGCAGATGGCTCTGTACTCAGGTGTGCCTGGTTTGGGGCACTCATCACAGTCGATACCCCAGGCAGCGCCCACCGAACAGCAGCACATGTCTACACGGTACCGGCCTGGCAGTGGCTCACCACACTCATCCTCATGCCACTTCAAGTAGCAGTGCTCACTACGCGTGTCTAGAAAAAGTTAATTTTTGTTAATCTTGCAGTTGTTTGCTGAAGAAAAAATAAAGTAACTTTAGTTTTAGCCTTATACTGAAGTACCTTGATTGCAATTGGAAATGACTGTTTCATCAGCTGATATGATGTGTGATCATTTTGTTGTGCACTCCCCTTACCCACACATGTGCGTCCAGTGCTGTCCAAGCTGAGACCCGCAGCACACTCACAGCGGAATGAGCCCTGGGTGTTCACACACTGGCCATTTGTACACACTCCAGGGAACACCTCACACTCATTAATATCTACATGGAGAGGGACATTTGAGAAACTGCAAGGTCAAAAGAAATCTACGAGAGCATTAAGGTACATTAGGAGAGCGAAAAGATAGAATGAGTTCATGGTGGATGTCGGTTTAATGGAGCGCTGTAGATATAGTTAATTTATCAAATGCTCTTACCTTCACAGATAAGGCCCTTCATGCGAGCAAATCCTCGAGAGCAGGCAGTGTCTAAGGAGACAAGTGAAATAGTACATGTATTTGTACTGCATGTCAAGTATGTACGGTCATACTGTATACATTGTCAGGGCAATATTGGCCTTTGGTTCATATTTGAATGTGAATAGTCATGTGTGAAAAATCTGCAGTTGTGTTTTGTTCTGAATGCGAATAGTCATGTGTCCACAGTGTGGTGGCACTTTCTGACCAAAGCTGCTCAAAAAGAATGTGAAAAATCTGCAGTTGTGTTTTGTTTCTTTACTCTCTTGCTCAGTGATTAATAATATAATATTACTAACACTATAAATAAATTATATTCATATTGTCAGTATTTGTAAATTTGCCTTTAATTCTAAAGCAATAATCATTTCAGAGTCCACCAGTGAGTTGAATTGCAGTGAATAAGTACAACATGTCATGTCTATTCTCTAAAAGAATTCCACTTCTATTTGTACTGAATTTTGATGTTACTCTGTGAATGTTGCTTTGGCACAAAATACATGTACTTTTAATTAAAAACACTGGTCTCAGCCTTAAAGAACCTGTGTGTTTGAACTGACCGATCTCGCAGGGTTCACAGGGGCTGCCCCAAGCGGCTCCCAGTGTAGAGCAGCACTCAGACTTCAGTGTGGCTCCGTTGATGTTGACCTCACAGCGGCTGTCCTGTATTGTCAGCCAGCACGTACTTTTCATACTATCTGTGGGGCCAAAGTAAGAACAGAAAAGACTTGATGAATGCAGTCCTGTGGAGATAAACATGCACAGTTCTATTTACATTCTGTTTTTCCCCACCAAAGCAGATTTTGTGTATCCTTGAGGCCTTTAACAAACGTACCGAGAGTATTTCCTTCCACTTAAAACATTTGCAAAGTACATTTTGTGACTATTTCCCCTGTGCATGTGCTAGTGGAGCAGAGGATACAAACAAAACAGACATGCAGTCATCAAAACAATTGCTCCAATTACACCATTAGTGGTCAACATTTCCACATGGCACCGTTAACTATGGAAACAAAACACACAACAAAAACAATAAACATGACATCTTCAGCTCCCATGATTATCAGTTTGTCTGTGGCCACAGGCAGAGCTGAGTAATGTCCATGCACCATTACATTTAATCCTATGCTATAGCATTCCTAATGAACTGAATGAGTGTACAGACATACAGGAAGAGTAGCACCTATCCTCCAAAACCACAAGACCACCCAAACATAAAACCACAATTTACTTTCCCTTTCTCGGTGATAGGCTCTGAAACAGAAATGAACCAATCCAGAGGAATTTGTGTACCACAACCAGAGCCAACTTATGCAATATGCATATTGATGAAGTGACTCATTCTCACTTCCATTTACAAAAACATCTGCAAATCTCCCAAAAGTAAAAACAAACACCCAAACAAGTGGAATATTTCCCCTCATCAGACTCTTACATACCACAAGTCATTCTGAATCTGACGAGGAGCTCTATGATGGAAAGCAATCTCCATGTGAACCAAGGACATGCATGCAAAGATTTTGCTATGAAGTCATCTGCCATTTTGCCCAGTATCCGAGGATAACAATGTCTGTGGACCTGAAAACCTGAACCATCTTAGTGCTGGTTTACAAATGAGTAAACCTTACATCAGTTATTACCAGGTGTCATTTCCGTCTCAGTGTGTCATCGTTATCTCACACAAGCCTTTTCTGGGACCTTGCAGTGCTGCTCTAATTTACATCAGGCATTTGGAAGGATGGAGGTCTTACCCACACAGATGGTGTTGGTGGAGTCCAGCTTGCTGCCATGGGCACATTCACAGTTGAAGGACCCGACCACATTACGACACACTCCATTGATGCAGGGGCTGGAATCACATTCGTTGATATCTGAAAAATGTGCAAACACACACCTAGGGTCAGGGTTGAGAGGCCAATTCAAATGGCTCATCACCATTTGGCAGATACAAGCATGATGTATGTGTCTTTGCCTGAACCACATGTTTACTTGAAACTGAATCCAACACACCTGGTAATAATGTCACCTCATAATGGCATTGACTGGTGGTAAAAACATGACAAAAGAGATGCCAGAGGGAATGTGCACATGTGTGTGTGTGCTCACCTTCACATGTCTCTGAATCAGGTTTGAAGACGAATCCTTTAGGACAGGAGCAGGTGTAGGAGCCGGGAGTGTTTCTGCAGAGACCGTTGTCACAAAGCAGACGGTTCACCAGACACTCATTGATGTCTGAAGGGAGGAAAGAGGTTAACAGGATCATTGTACTGTATGTTGCATTAATTTAAGAAAACAGGCAGGAGTGGGGCTTACTTATTAATTGCTAATTAGAGGGATAAATATGCATCGTCATTTAGAGAGACTATAATTTTTCAGACAAACACATTCCCTCACAAATGATCTCACAAATGGCACTGTTAAAGCATTGTCTTAGCATTTACCTTAATCCAGCACTTTTAACTTGTGGTCAAAGTGGCCAATATTAATTGGGATATACTGCTTTTTTTTAAACAAGACTATCATTAAAAACATGAACATGACTCACCAACACAGTTTTTGCCACTGGTGTCGGACTCATAGCCGATGTTACAGATACAGCGGTAGCTACCTCTCAGGTTCTCACAGATGCCATTCTGGCAAATATCTGGGTCCAGGGCGCACTCATTGATGTCTAGGGGAAAAGGTCATTTCCAGCCGTATTTAGATGAATACTAACATCCGCATTTCTTAACAGCACTATGGGAACATGGACAACATACACACCTATGCCATCAGTTGTGATGCCAATACCACTGCTACACACAGCCTGGAACTCAGCTGAAAGAGAACATGATTTATGAAAAGGACGTCCACTTGTATTTTCCTTTTAAAGTGAATTAAAAGTGAGTTTTAATAATTCAAACAAAGAGTTTCAATCTATCCCAAGTCGCCACCTGAGTTTCTGGAGGGACAGGGTTGGCAGGGCTCTCCAAAGCCATGTTCAGGGTTGGCACAGCAGCAATAGGACTTGGTCACTGCACCAGGCAACGGACGCGAGCAAGTTCCCATCTTTATGGCGCCGTAGCAAGTGGTCCTCATGTGTGTGTCCACGCACACTCTTCCATCTATATCAGTCGCCAGGCCCGGTGGGCACTCACAGCGAAAGGAGCCCTCGGAGTTGATGCAGCGGCCGTTCATACAAATGCCGGGTGTCTGACACTCATTAATATCTAAGGAAGACAGTTACATGTGAGCTTCAGTTCATGGGATAAGGCAGATGCTTTGAGAGAATGGTCTATATTGCATTAGTGAATTAAAGGGGAAGTCCCCCAAAAATAATTCAAGTATTTAAGTAAATATGTAAACATAATGAGGGTATGTTATTATTATCTTATACTTTTCTCATTCAGTAAGTACAAGCAATTGTCTATGAACCATGAGCTTGGGTTTAGAATTAGGATTATATTTCCATTGGTCTGATAGCTAACTCATAAGTATTGTGTAAAACTAAATAAGAGGGAAAAGGGGTCCAAGTTTTTAGAATAAAAGTCATAAACTAAATTAATCCCTAGAAAAAGATTAGTCCATTTCTAAATAATCTTCTATGTATTCATTTTAAAATAGCAAACTTACAACTTACAGTTACAAAACGACACCACAGAAGTCACAGAGAGCTTTAACGAGGCTTGAGGTCATGGAGAGTTAACATTATCTAAGCTGATACAGTACGTGGTGTATTTGGGATGTGCACCTGTGCACGCATGACTGCAATGGAAACCAGTTATTCTTACATTTTCCAGACAAAATCTGCCAACATAAAATAATACACCTATCTATCTATATCAGGGATGTTTCAAAGAGCCTGACTTCTGAAAGAAACATGTGCATAAGCAGATCCTGCAGGATTTCAAAGCACGCCGCATCAGCACTGTTGAAGCAGCCTATCTGACTCTGTATCTGTGCTTCATAAATCACACAGTACATACCAGTACAGTAGCGTCCGTTAGGTGCTAGTTGGAAACCAGGTTTGCAGATGCACTTAAAGCTGCCGTCCTCATTAATACACATGCCGTTGAGACACATGTTGGTGGTGGCACATTCGTTGTGATCTGGTGAGAAATGAGAATAAGAATTGCATCAAGTTTATAAAGATGAAGGCTCAAGTGAAGTTCAGTTTGTTTTTGTGTTTTCCTTACCAATGCAATTCTTTCCATCAGGAGTGAGGTCAAAGCCAGCATTGCAAATACACTGAAAGCTTCCCTCAGTGTTGACACAGCGGCCGTTGCGACACATCACTCCATTCACAATACATTCATCGATATCTAATGAGTGGAGAGCGGAACTTAATTTAACTGTCTTCTAAACACAAATCAGACTATGTTGTGCACCAAAGCTGTACTTAACATATAATAAATGTGTATTAAAGAAACATCCTGTTTATAGTAATACAGGCTGGAAATCACACATACCGATGCAGGCTTGTTTGGTGGGTGTTCCCTGGTAGCCCTCATGGCATTTGCAGTGATATGACCCAGGTGTGTTGACACAGTCTCCATTGATACATGGATTATTCACACACTCATCCACATCTAGAAAGAAAGAATATAAAAAAACCATAACCTATCCTGACTGTGAGGGTGAATGCGTTTAAAAGACATAAAAAAACATTTTAGCAGACTTCTCCTGCAAGTATGAAGCTACACATGTAATAAATTCCTTAAATAGGCAGAAGATGGCAGTGCAGTGCACGCTATTAATTGTGCCACTATATCTGCTGGTATAGCTCAGAGATGTTACTGAGAGCTGACTGAAGTATGTGCACGTTAGCGTGTGCTTCTTACCAATACACTCCCCACGAACATCCTGCCTGTAGCCCATGTTACATTCGCAGCGATAGTTTGGGGGTGTGGGAATGCAGCGTCCATTCAGACACAAGTTTGTGAAATGTTTGCATACGTCTATGGTGTCATTCTTGGGAAAGGAAATACTCTCTGAGAATACACATACAGAGGGATTATCAAAGCACAGCAAACAAATTTAACAGTTAAATGCTGCAATTTTCCAGCTCTAGAAATGAACTTTTTGCTTTACTGTCATCTAACAGGTTTATTCAGACCCACTGAAAGACTCTACCTATATTCTGGTTGTTTCCTCCGCTGACTCCATTAGCATTACCACCAGGCCCAGTGGGGAACTTTGAATATGGAAATCCATTAGGAGTAAGACCGTGGCCATTGGGGTAGCCATTAGGGAGACCGTGCCCCTGTGGAACACCCACAATACACAGACGCCTAAACTCATCTACAAGAAAGACAGAGATCACAGGGAACAAGTCAGTGGATGTAAACTGCTGTAGTGTAGGTTTTATTTGTTACAGCACATTATAACAGAAAAAAAGTGCTTTGGATCAGTATAACCACTTGAAGCCGTACAGCATAAGCACATTAAATGTGCTCACTGTTTCACGGAGCTCCAGTTTTCACAAAGGCCATTGCTCTCTGTATTAAACTGAAGTTCTTTGGTTGAATTTTGTTATAGAAATGACCCTCTACTGTACGGTTTTACTGGTTTTAGATGTGCTTTGACTGAGTGAAGGTGTGACCAAGTAATAAAAGAAAAATGTATAATGTGTATAATGATGTGTTCTGCTCTATTTTGCCATTAGGTAAACTATGCTTGTAACTGTGTATGCATTTGCATACATGTATAGTATGTTTACATATGTATATGTTTTGCACACTGACAATAAAATCAAACACACACATCTTATTTTGGTGGTGCCAGTGAAAGAAATGGAAAATTCTGCAACAGATCAGTGATGGATCACATGGTCTCACGCAGAGGAAGAATTTCCCAAATTCCAGCTTGACTGAAGAGATGATGGGTCATTATCTTAACACAAATCTTTTCCATCTTTCTCTGTTTTGTTTGTGCTCATGACATCATGCTCATCAGTTCAAGTGGCAGCTCTTACCTCTCTGTCATGTGCACATGTGCCTCTCTGTGTCTTGTCTGGTTTAATATTACAATATTAAATTAGTTTGGGTTGGAAACCCCTTACACTGTCATGACGTTATTTACTGGCTCATCTCATGCCAAATCATAGATAATCTACTGTGCCTGTTCTTTCTCAACAGAGAAAGAAAGTGATGGATGCCCTAATTTCAAGCTTATTTCTACCCCTTTATCTGAGATCAGCAGCAACACAGATGTTGTTAGAGCCATGTGTAGCTGTCAGCAACTGAAATGTGGGATTTGCAGGTATCTTCTGTATTGTCCATCTTGTCTTTGTGTGTACTCACCAGAACCCCTGACAGGACACATCTCAGGGATCTGTCCCAAAGCCCAACAGCGTCCTGTGTCACAACAACACTGCATCTTGTTGTACTGACCACTCATCTCTGCAGCACAGCGGCCATGAGCCAGAGCAGAGAAACAGGTGCCCACACGATGATCTGAAGGAGGAGGAGACAGATGAACAGAGTTGGACAACTGAACAGGCAGCAACAAAAACTGATTGTTATAACAGAAGTCAACTTCTACTGTCACCCATATGTGAGAAAAGATTATAGCCACACTCAAAACACCAGTCCTGTATGTTAGAAGGGTGTTCTGCACTCCCCAGGGAGGCTGGCAAGGAAGTTTCTTTATGGGTTAACAGTGGGAAAGGTTCCCTGGGGTCTCAATGAAGTGCAGGCATCAGAAAGGCCTCCAAAAAGGGGTTTTATTCTGTTACAGTTTGTTACAGGTCAGGATCTATTGGGCAGGAGAGGGGGCTGGGGTTCTAAGAGTGTGTGAAGTGGGGGAGGGAGTTTCTGGGTATTCCAGGGAAATACCAAGAGAAGCAAAAAGACAGAGACTAAATGAATGTGTACTATTTTCGAATGTGAACGACCTATTTACGAGAATTTCAAGTTTCATCTTCAAAAAGCAAAGGATAGGAAAAGAAAAAGCAGTGTGTGTGTGTGTGTGTGTGTGTGTGTTGGGTGAGGTAGTGGGGTACAAGTCGATTAACTCACTAATGAGCCAGAAGTCTGGAATTAATCAGTTCCATGTGGAACAATTCTTGCCAATTAGTTAAAACAGGGGGCTGTTTGTGTGTGTGTGTGTGTGTGTGTGTTGGAGTACATGGAGTACAGTACACACACACACACAGACACACACATGTTTACATGCTCTTACAGAGACAGACATGCGCTTCCATACCTATCCACAGGCACAAAACATAAGAGGTGTACATACACACATAAGAGTGTGTGTGTACAAATACGTACACGCACGCATAAACGTACACAAACACAACCCAGCAAAACATTCCACGGGAATGACCAAGCTAGGCCCATGGTGGAGGAGAAAGAATGGGGTTTTGCTGATGAGGAGGATGATGACTTAAATTGGATCCAGACTGTGCTTTGCTTGCTAATGTAGCTCCACTGCACAAGGATATGCTTTCATTGGGCGAGCTGTTTTTACAGACTGGCTGACTAGACAGGTCTTCTTGTTTTTTTCAAGCGTCCACCGTGTGACAGGGCATTAGGCTCTGATTACTGTCAGGCCCCCCAACAGCTCCCACTGGCCTACTTTGCCATGGTACAATACATACCACAAAACACAGGCCAACATACCTAGAGTTACAGAGTCCAGCCTCCAGACCAGAACATACACTCTACTTCGAAATTATTAGGGAAGCAAGTAATAAACCAGCTGTATAAAAACACTTAACTCTATTTTATTTGCTTTGTGTTCTGACCACAAAAAAACCAAGATGATCAGACAGTGATCAGACAAATTTAATTAAACTCAGTCACATGAGGATGAAACAAGTAGAGTATATCATATCCATCTTTGTGTATGTGTGTGTAAGTGTGACTTTGGATCACTGGTCTAGAATATCTAAGCCACAGTTTGGACCTGGCCCAGTCTACTCTGGTTTCTCTGCCTCTGTCTCCTTCCAATCTAGTCTTGTCCATTTTGGAAGTGCCACAGAGATGGAGGAAGGATACAGGGTGTTGTGTCTGGCACCTGTTTTATTAGTTTTCTCTTTTTTCTCTTTCC